CATTTCTACACCCACCCTTTGGGCTCAGTGTGACCCAGAAGGTTAAGGCCAGGATCAGACTGTACAGTGATAGATGGGGATAGGACAGAGCCAAGAACTATGGCACATGGGGCAGCCAGGCTGTCTGGCTCTGCCACTCTGAGTAGGGGGAGGGCAGGTGAGTGTCTGAAGTCACTAGGAGGCAGGCACAGACTCCAGGGATCCTTGATGGGATGCAGAGGGAGCAAGCAGGGTTGGCAAGATAGTTTTAGGAGGCAGAACTCTGCATAGTGAGCTCGCAGCCCTGCAGGACTCCTTGGAATGAGATGCATCCTGCATCGAGGACTGCGGTGCTGCAGAAGAAGTAGGTCAGAGGCAGAGCCCAGGGTGTCTCGTTCCCAGTCCCCGCGCCAGCTGTCCCTCCCAGGCTCAGCAGCAGGTCTCCCACTTGGCTCTTGCCCTGTAGCTGACCAGCTGCAGCTGAGGTTGGAGGGAAGAAGGGGGCTAGAGAACGTTGTGGTGAGGTGGAAAGCCTGGCCTTACTGTGGAGACCCCACTCCTGGCACCTGAGCCTCTTGCTGGCCTCCACTCCATCTGAAGCCCTGGCCCCAGTGCCAGCTGTCTGGCCTGCAGATGTGCTGGGCAGGAGAGTGGCCTGGCCTGCAAGATGGGCCCTGCTCTGCTGCCTTCTACTCTCCCCAGGGGCAGAAAGGCCTAAGGCTGTCATGGAGGCTGAGGCAGGACAGCTCGCTGATGATGGGCTGAGGCCAGACGTGCCTGGTCCTCAGGGCTGCTCTCCTCAGGGCAGGGCTTTCCTGGTGTGTCAGGGTCTTGGGGTTGGGGCGGAGAGTGGGCAGAGCCAGGCAGCTGCTGAGGACCTGTGCTTCCTTACTGGGTCCCAGAGGGAAGTCCCAGGTCGCCCTGAAGATCATCCGAAATGTGGGCAAGTACCGGGAGGCCGCCCGGCTGGAAATCAACGTCCTCAAGAAAATCAAGGAGAAGGACAAGGAGAACAAGTTGTGAGTCTGCAGGGGTGAGAGGGAAGCCTACGGGGCACAGACAGTGCCATCCCCATCCACAGGCCTAGAGCCTTTGTCCTGCTGGTTGCCTTCTAGCCATACTCAGACCAGGGTGGTGGGCAAATGAGTTTCCTTTGGGGCCCCTGGTGTCAGTCCTGCTTAACCCCACAGCTGTCCAGAGGAAGGCCCAGCCCCTCATTGGGAGCAGGGACCCCACAGCAGACACCCCGCTTGCCTCTTCAACACTGCCCCAGCCTGGCGGGGGTGTTCTGTGCATGCTGGGCTCCTCACCTCTGGTGGATGTGTTGGGCCTGGAACTCTGGGCCTCCACAGCAGGGACCCTGTCTGTGCCCAAGGCTTATCTGGGTCATGGCCAAGGGGAGGTATGCCTGCCTGGCACTGGGGTCCTCTCCATGTGTGTCAGCACGAGGGTGTGTGACTCATGACCTTCAAGGGAGGCAGTCCCTGGCACAGCCTGAGCCCCGATTCTTTCCCTAGCCTGTGTGTATTGATGTCTGACTGGTTCAACTTCCATGGCCACATGTGCATTGCCTTTGAGCTCCTGGGCAAGAACACCTTTGAGTTCCTGAAGGAGAACAACTTCCAGCCTTACCCACTACCCCATGTCCGGCACATGGCCTACCAGCTCTGCCACGCCCTCAGATGTAAGTCTGCACAGGCGCTGGGCAGTCTCCAGGGTGGTCCACTGCTCTGTGGCCTGTCTGGGCAGGATTTTAGGGGAGGGAGGGCGGGACCCTCAGGCCTCCTTGCCCAGGCTCTGCCCTAGGTCCCCAGGACAGCAGGGAGGGGCTCTAGGGCTGACCCAGCTCCAGCCTTGCCTCCCACCTTCACACAGAGGAGAAAGGACAAGCTGGAGCTCTGTACAGGTCCCCCACAGAGACCCAGTGTCTGTCACTCATGTGCCCTCCAGCCTTAAGCGGCAGACTTGGAACCAGTGCTTAGCACTGTCAGGTTTGTGACCACTGAGGCAGTGAGGAAGGGCCCCTGGAGAGGATGGTGACAGATGTAGAGCCTGGATGTGTAGGGTCTGCATAGGTGGTGGGGACAGGGACCCACAAGGTCGAGGGGCAGCTCTGAAGACCTGGCCCTGCGGAGAGTTGGGGAGAGGGCTTGAGCTAAGTCCAGGCCTCACCCATGAGGGTCTGTAGTGCCAGGTGGGAGCCCTGAGCTGGAAGTGCTAAGTGTTAGGAAACCACTATTAGTGGGACATGGGGGCAGGTGGGAGGCTGCACCTGTCTTTGAAAAAGGAGACCTCACATTCATTTCACAATGGGCCCAGAAATTCTGTTCCTGGTGCTGGGGCTTTGGTGGAAGGCCTGGTCTCTGCACAGTAGAGGTAGAGGAAGGTTGTTTGGAAGGGAAAAACCCTGTCCGCCCCACCACCCTCCTTTCTGGTACCAGTGATCAAACCCTTTTTAAAATTGAGCCAGGGTCTTGCTGAGTTGTCCTGGCAGGACTAACTTAATGATTCTCCTATGTCAGCCTCCCTCCACACTGAGATTACATGTGTGCGCCCCTGGCTTCCTTGCCCCTTCTAAAGGAAGGACTCTCAACCTCTTGAGAGGGAAGCCAGCTCCTGGCTGGAGCACAGCCCCAGCATCTCAGCCCGTCTCCCTCTTCTGCCCCCAGTTCTACATGAGAACCAGCTGACCCACACAGACTTGAAGCCAGAGAACATCCTGTTCGTGAACTCAGAGTTCGAAACCCTCTACAATGAGCACAAGGTAGGGCACCCTGGGGAGGGTGCACCCAGCCCCCAGGGTGGGCACTGTAGACACAGGCTCATTCAGCCACCCTGCCTCCCAGAGCTGTGAGGAGAAGTCAGTGAAGAACACCAGCATCCGAGTGGCCGACTTCGGCAGTGCCACCTTTGACCATGAGCATCATACCACCATTGTGGCCACCCGGCACTACCGCCCGCCTGAGGTCATCCTGGGTGAGTGATGCCCTGCCAGCCACATCACATGGGGCAGCTGCGGAGGCATGAGCAGAAGCAGGGTAGCATCCCTGTCAGCCCGAGTCTCACCGCCCCTCCCTCGGCTTGCAGAGCTGGGCTGGGCACAGCCCTGCGACGTCTGGAGCATCGGCTGCATTCTCTTTGAGTACTACCGCGGCTTCACACTCTTCCAGGTACACAGCGCTGGGCTGCCTCTCCTGGCCAAAGGGGTCGTGTGGCTGGTGTGTGAAGGGAGGAGCCTTCTGCTAGGGTGGCAAGGACAGGGAATTGGGCAGGAGTGAGGCGGGAAGGACCGGGCATGGCCTGGGGACAGAGAAGCCCCATGTGCAGGATGGACCAAGGGAAGTGAGGTGAGCCTGGCCCAGTGGGGCAGGGCTGGCACCATCTTCCAGGGGCAGGTTTGCACCTCCTGGGTGAGGAGGGCAAGTCATGTCTGTTCTGCTACCTTACTCTGCCAAGGCTGGGACTAACCTCTGCTGCTCTGTCCTGGCCTTCTGCAGACCCACGAAAACCGAGAGCACTTGGTGATGATGGAAAAGATTTTGGGCCCCATCCCATCACACATGATCCACCGCACCAGGTGAGGACTTGGGCTCCCTCAGGCTGCAGCAGGCCTGGCCCTCCTGCTGCAGGTCACAGGCAGCAAACCCACCTTCTCTGTCTGCCCCTGTTGCCACTACCCTGGGCCTGGCAACTCCACTTCCACCACTTGACACCCCCTCCCCAAATTTCAGGAAACAGAAATATTTCTACAAAGGGGGCCTGGTTTGGGATGAGAACAGCTCAGATGGCCGGTATGTGAAGGAGAACTGCAAACCTCTGAAGGTCAGTTTCTGGCTTCCCCCAGCTCAGCTCATGCTGAAGAGACCCCAGGCACTGGGCAGATAGCTGGCTTTTGTGCTCCAGCGGGGGTCAGCACCCAGCATTGCTGGCTTCTTGCAGCCACCCTTAGCCCAACCCCTTGCCCACTGGGTGGCCAAGCATGTAACTGGGGAGCACCAGAGGAGCCTGGTGCCTGCAGACTGCTGCTTCCTGTCATTCTCCTTTCCATTTTGGGAACAACTAGGCAGGACTGAGGTGGGTGGGGTGGGTGGGATGGGCGGGGGGGGGGGTTTGGCCAAAACCTGGCCAGGCAGCCTGTCAACTGCACTTGGGTGCCAGGCTGAATAAGTGGGTCTGCAGAGGTGGTCAGGACTTTGCATGTGGGGTAGAGGTGCCAACTCAGCAAGACGCCTGATATTGTTAAGTTCTGAGCGAGGGCAGAAGTGGAGTCCTCCAAGGAGGACCCAGGCTGACAAGGCCTCCCAGTGGCAAGGGGACTGCAGTGACTCCTGTCACCTGACGTCACAGCAGGTGCCTTGTGTCCCTGAGCAGAGTTACATGCTCCAAGACTCACTGGAGCATGTGCAGCTGTTTGACCTGATGCGGAGGATGCTAGAATTCGACCCTGTACAGCGCATCACACTGGCAGAGGCCCTGCTACACCCCTTCTTTGCTGGCCTCACCCCTGAGGAGCGATCCTTCCACACCAGCCGAAACCCCAGCAGATGACAGGAGAGGCCTTCACAGTAGGAGGTGGAGGGGGACTGGGCTGCCCCTTTCTCTAGCCTCTGCCACCAGCCTCAGGGCCAGAGCCACCGATGAACAGTGCAATGTGAAGGAAGGCAGGAGCCTGCAGGACACCCAGCTGCCAGAAAGCACAGATTTGACCCAAGCTATTTATATGTTGTAAAGTTATAATAAAATGTTTCTTACTGTTTGTAACCCCTGGTACTAGCGTGTCCATCGCCAGGCTCCTGACCTTACTAATAAAGTCTAATTCGCAGCTCAGCCTGTGGAGAGCTACGCGTGGACTGGCCAGGCAGAGGGTGAGCTGAGGCAGTGACCCATGTTAGCACGGTGCACAGCCCCAAGCAGGCTCTGGTGGTATTGGGGTCCACTGAGGTGCAGCACCCTGGTGTAGTCAGGGTGGTTCCTGACAGGGGGAGGTGGCATCCTGTCACTACCCACAGAGTAGCTCACAGTTCAGAACTTGCTCATTCAGCTTTATTATAATGCTGGTTTTGGTTCCCCGAGTGTCAGGCTTGGTTACTGTCAGACCCTCTTGGGTCCTGGCCACTAAGCAGGAATCCTCTGGGAGGAGGGGAAGAGAGAGGAACTGTGCCCATCTTAATCTCTGGGTAAACCCAGACTGAGGGCAAGGAGGTCCCCATGCCACCTGGGGAGAAAAGAAGCTTGGGCACAAACTCATTGGCCCCTCAACAAGGCCATCACCCAGGGACAATGCACTAGCACTAGTAGGTAGAGCAGGATTCTAGCTTATCACCCAACAAGAGGCCTGTGAGTCCAGGATGGGTGCTAATGCCTGCTGCCTGGCCCTGAGAGTGAGCAGAGGCTCAGGGCAGACTCACAGCACAAGGCATTGGCCCTGGCTGCCTCCCACCACTTGAGACCACACTGCAATGGAGGGATGATGGGAGGAGAGGAGCCAGCCCTCTGCCCTAGTGCATCTGCTCCTGGTTCTGCACCTATGAGGAAATGAGCAGCCCAGACCCTGGCACCACAGCCTTCCCTGTGACCACAATCCTCAGCCAGCCTGTCCCTGGCCCCCAACCCTTCCTCGAGCCCTCCCCTCAGCCACTGTGGGCAGAGTAAAAGGAGCCTGAAGCCCTACACATTTGCAAGGAGCCCCACCAGGGCTCCAGGCCTGGTCCAGTGGGGGCTGCCCAGCAGTGAGCTCATCTGGAGCCAGCTTGGGCATCTGAGACATGCTGCTGCCCCAAGCCTACACATCAGAGACAACCAGAAGGGGTAAGTCCAAACCAAAGCGCTTGTGGGGGGTGGGGGGGTTAGGGGAGAGGGACATGGCCCTGCTCTGGGATGGCAGCTGTGGGGGAGCATTTTGAGGGGTAGGCAGAGTGGATGGAAGAGTGGGGCATAAGTGTTTGGATTATGTGGGGGTGGGGGACTAGGACAGAAGCACCAGGAGCCACCTTGTGCAGCACCAGGCTGCCTCGGGCCTCTCCCCAGTCTTGGACCTTAAAGATGTGCCTTGAGCAGCCCGGCCTGACTCGCCAAAGACTCTGCCACCAGCCAGGGAGAGCAATGCTGGCAAAGTGGGCACTGTGGTTCCCCAGTAACATAACCTTGTGTGACCTGGCTCTAAAGACTGCAGCAAGCCACACAGATCCCAATACAGTGACACCATCCTGAGTCCCCTTCCCCTGCCTCTTAGGTGGAGTGGAAAGACCTAGGAAAAACCCAGCACACCACCTACCTCGGCTCAGGAAAAGGGCCAGAAGCCCCTTGTGACTACCCTCTGCTCAGACAGGTGCCTCATGGCCATGGCACTATGACAAGATGCAGGCTGGGCAAGCAGGAGACGTACAAGAGCCTGGCCCTCAAAGGCCCTGCCACCCTCGATGTAACCCTGAACAGTTTGAGAGTTGCCTGTGTCTGTAAACAAACCCCATGGGCAGAGCGTCTGGTGCTCAGCCACCACCAGGCGATAGGCCAGTTTGCAGCATGTTCTGTTATCTCACAGAAGAAATCAACTCAAAAAAGGAAAACTGTACAGCAAGGCCCATGAAGCTTCACATCTTAAGGTGTCTGTCACCAGCTGATGGCAGGGCTCTAGGCAGAATGCAGGGGAATGACGAACTTGCAGCCAAAGGGCGAGTGGTAGCTGATGCCCACCTCTTGGAAGACCTGTTGGGGGATGCCAATGTCACACAGGTAGATGCGGCCTGCGTGCTCCCCCAGCGGCAGGGGAAGGCCCAGTGCCAAGGACCACTTGGCATCAATGCCCTGCTCGACTTCATGCACAGGAGGGTCTATGCTGAGCACTGGTGCCCGGTTCTGGTTGGCCCAGGCCACCGCTGCCTTGTACCAGGGCTGATCCCGTAGGAAGGCATTCTCCGGGCAATCCAAGCAGTTGATGACCAGGTCCACAGGGCTGCTGGGCAGATCTGCAGAGGAAAGGGTACTGTGTGGAACCTGGAGCAGAGAGCAGCCATGCAGGACATGATGCCCATTCCAGACTGGCCTGGGCACGGGCCTGGGGGTTCCAATCCTGGCCATCCTGGGCCCACTGCCCTCATGGGGTTCCTAGGCTGCTGAGGGACAAGTCTCACATCCCTCCACCTTGCAGGCAGGACCCACATCCAGCCAATCCCAGGGGCATCACAAGCTCTGGAATGCAGAGTCCACTGTGGGGTCACCCTCACAGCGAAGACTGCTGAGAGCCCAGGAGAAAAGGGAATGGCAGGGCCCTGATAGCGAGCAGTGACAGCGCTTAACTGACTACTCTAGCAGCCAGCCCCTCGCAGCCTGCTCACTATCCCCTGGGAACGTGGAGAAACAGCCACCCAGCAGTTAAAGGGCTCTGTGCTTGCTCTAAGCAGGCCTCCGGGACAGCACAGGAACAGGGGTCTCAGCAAGCCTCCTGGGGTAGCCTAAGAAGATCAGGGCTCAGGCCATACCAGAGGTCATTGTTCCCACCCTAAACTCCAACCACTCACCCTCAGGAGAACCGAGCTGCACCAGAGTACCACCCTCTGACTCCCCAAACCCATCCCACCCAGCACTCCAGCATGGCTCCCTCCTGAGCACCCTACCTGGCCTAACACATGGTAACCTTGCCTTCATCTCTCCTACCCAAAGGTAAGCTCCACAAAGGGTGGGTGGTAAACACATGCTGCCACATCCCCAGGACCAGGAACAGTGCCTGTTCCACAAACAGATGTGAAACGAGCGAGTGGGAAAGGATGAAGGGTAAGGGATGGGAGTGGGCACTGCCAAGGGCAAAGATACAAATAGCCTACTGCAGCACATGTGCCATAGATTTGCCACCACTGCTCTAGAGGCTGTCGGCCACTCGGTGCCTTTCCATCTTGTCACCACTGGGTGGCACCACGAGAACATCACACTCCCTAAGGCAGGCAGCAGGAGTGGGCATGGACCATGGGCCACAAGCGTGGAGAGCCAGTGCTCCACTATGAGGCTGCTCACCTTTGAGGCTGGACACCTGCTGGCCCTGGGTCTTGCTGAAGAGAGACAGCTCATTGGTGATGGACTCCAGCATCTTGACAAAGTTGGGCAGGAAGAGGATGACGTGCACGTCGTGGTTAGCCAGGTGCCTGCCGCAGCTGATGCCTTGAGCCCCCTGCACATGGGGCCCACACAGCAGGGCCACAGTGGGCCTCTGGTGAACATTCTTGGGGTTCAGCCTGGAACACAGAGTGAAAAACAGTCACTGGCTGCTGCAGACTGGCCGATCCTTAGGTCCCCATCAGACAAGCTCTTCCTCCACTCACTGAGTCCTGGGCTCAGAGGAGCCCAGATCCAGCAGGCCAGGACCCTGGGCAGTGGGGTCTTCCCACCAGGGAGCCCACTGAGTGCAACACTGCCACCAGAACCCCGCTGGTGGGTTCCTCCTCTGTGACCCTTCAGAGACAAGCTTCATTTGGCAGAGAGGCTTCTCCATGTTCACATTCTTGTGTTCCATCCCAATGGCACTGCATACCAGCAGCGTAGTCCCTCACTCTCACCTGAATTCATAGGGTTCTCCCTGCCCATGCTCAATCTGTGTCCCCCACCAGAAAGCCCTCCATTGTCAAATCCCCCATCCTTTTTCTAAGGTCTGGCTTGAGGCTTGCTGTTCTGGGACTACTCTGGCCACACTCATTCCTCTTCTCAGCTCCCAGTGAACTCTCAAACACACTTCAGCACAGTTCTAAATTGTCCCTGATCCGCTCGCTACCTGCCAATCTGTCAGGTGCTAGTGATCTTGAGGGAGCAAACTGCAGCTGTCACCAGCGCCAGCTTCATGGAACACTGTGTGGACAAAAGATGTGCAGAGCCTGGTGGTAGCCACTTGGTCTCCTGCTTCTCAGAGCTGAGAGCCTCTGATCTCAAAGGAGGCACCAGTCACGAGGCCTGGATCTGCTGGGCTCCCAGGCTGCACCGCTAGCTGCTGGGGCAGGAAGGCCCTGGTCCCTAATTAGGGGGACAGTGACAGGCCCAGTCTTCCAAAAGGAGAAAGACAATATCAGCAAGCCACAGAAGAGTGTCATGATTGCCTTTTTCCAAATAAATTTTGGGGAAATGAGCAACATGGCCCAAACCATCCATTCTCTCGACTATTTATGCATCTAGAGGAACCATGAGTGTTTCTCCCTTCACCCAGAAGCCTCAGAGTGCTGTGGCACTGGATCCACTGTCTGTCCCCAGTGGGCTACCCTCTCCCTCATCTCTCATAAGAATGAAAGCAGAGCCAGCGCCCATCTGGTCATCCAGCTCATGGCACTGGAAAAAGACCAGCAGTGCCACCAGGCAGCCCTGCAGCTCCCTGAGCTGCCACGTGAGCATCTCAACACAGGCTACAATCTCTTATCTCTGAGATGACGCTACAGAGAGCACAGAAAGTTCCACTGTGAAAGCACTGTGCAGAGCTGCAAGGCAGCTGGCATGTGTCAAGCTTCACAGCACTGTGGTGGAACTACTTCAAGCCAAATCAGTGGTCATGGCAAAGGACAGGGTGGACCTCTGAGAGCTCAGACTGAGAAGAGGGGCACAGGTCAGCCAGCCCCCAGAGGCCAGTTAGGGAGAATACAAGCTGGCTCTTGCCCCCAAAATGCTGTTCCTGGGTGTGTTTTGCTTTTTAGACAAGGCTGCCCAGGTTGGTGGTGAACTCCTGGGCTCAAATGACTCCAGTTCAGTTCTCCAGTACCTGGGTGAAAGCCCTTCACTGGCACCTGACACCCAAAGGAGCCCACTGTGGCGGATGGCAACTCAGGCAGATCTCCTTCAGAGAGTACCACATATACCTGCTTGCAGGAGCTGCCTCTGCCTGGGATCCAGCACAGCTGGAAGTCGCCCCAAAAGGACAGGAGGAACAGCCATTCCTCCTGGGTAGCAGTGGGAGCTTGGAGGAAAACCTCACATCCACCTGGACCAAGCTCACTGTAACCAAGACTGCTTCAGAAGCAGGAGACGCCTCCGCCCAACCCCAGCCTCAGACTTCCGGGAATGTGCCTTTCTCCACCCAGCACTGTCCTCCCTGGAGACAGCCTGGACCCCTGGCAGGCAGGAGTGGTGTCTAGCTATTTCTAACTCAAGTGCTGAGCACAGATCTGGTACTTAATAACAAAAGTATTCAGTATTTATTATGGTATCACAATAAAGCACATGGGCCCAAGAGTAGGGGGCAAGACCCCAGGCCCCAGCTCCAATGGCAGCTACCCAGTGGCTCTAGAGGTTCTCGGGGGTGACACTCAGGGCAGACTGGCATACCAGACACTGGCAGTGAACAGCAAGTCCCCAAGCCAGGCTCTGAAGGCTTCTAGAAGGCTGGCCTCTGAGTTAGCAAGAGCCACCATCAGAAAGGAAGGAAGGAGGAGAGCGAGGACTTCCAACAGCTGGCTGAGGGGCAAACAAAGACACCTGGCAGCATGCAGAAGGCACTGCAGGGTGACCAGGTGCCTTCACAGACACACACACACACACACACACACACCCCGCAGTCTCAAGTCTCAAGGTACTCACCTGTTGGGTCCTCCGAGAAGGGTCAGCGCCATCTGACTGGCACACACACCTGTCATCTCCAGCCTCCGCTCCAGGGTCAGCCCATGCCTTTCTGCCACAGACAACAGCTTTTTATGCAGCTCATAGGAAACACTTGGGACCACCAGGCCAGAGTCTGCCATTCCAAAGGGAAGAGAGAAGGGGTAAAGAGAATAACTGGGGAAACCAGATTCACAAATGGGTGTTACTCCATCCCCAAGAAAGACCCTCACCAGCCCATCCTCTCCCTCTTCAGGAACTGAGATGCTCCGCAGTCGCCAAAGCTGAAGGAGTAGATGGAGAGCTCAGGAACAGCTTATTCCAGATCATCACAGAGCAGGACAAACTCATCCTTCCAAGTAGTTTAGCTTCAAACCACGAAGACCAAATCCAGCACGATGAGTTGGTGCTACCAGCATGTGACAGCAACCTGTCCATTCCATTAAGAGAACACAGTTTCCCAACATCAGGGACAAGGCTGTCCTTACCAAAAGGACCCCCATCTTTCTCAGAGGTGGGGCAGACACTAGGGGACCCTCCAACCCCCACCTTGCTTTCTCGGCAGTTTCACAGGAGGAAGCCTTGTGCTGCTCTACTCCCCACTTCCTCTGGCTTCTTTTTTGCTTAAATTCTTTTATTAGTACATTTTAGGTATACAACACATTTACATTTATCATTGGGTGCTTGTACCTGTACATGATGTATCTTGGTTATTTTTTCCCCATTCCCTGTGCGCCCTTCACCCCCTCCACCCTTCCCTATTTACATAGACTTTGTTTCCATTTTTTTCTTTTCTCATAATTTTTCCTTTCCCTTCTCTCCTTTCACCTTCCTCTCCCACTTCCCCTGCCCCTTTGGGCCTTTTCTATTTCAAATTATCAATTATTCGTTTTGTTTTAATCCTTATTGATACTTTCAGTTTCTCACACTAGAGAAACTACGTGGTATTTACACACGTGTGTCCTATTTATTTCACTTAGGAGGATGGCCTCTATATGCATCCATTTAGCTATAAATGTCTCTAGTTTCTCGTTCTTTATGGCTGAGTAGTACACCATTTTATAAAAAAACCCACATCTTCTTTATCCAGTTTCCAGTTGATGGGCACTTGGGCTGCTTCCAAGCTTTAGCTATTACAAACTGTGCCGCTATGAACATGGGTGCACATATGCCGCTATGGTATGATTCTTTTAATTATTTTG